CGAGTATGCCCACCTCTGCTTTATAGTCATGGTTGAAATCATGCTTTCTGAGCAGAGTCCCCTGATCTGAAGTCTGGTGAACCTTAGAAAATCTGGTATCTGTTAAAATTGACTGAGGATTATTGGCAAATATATTGCCTGTATTTCAGCTTGGTATTCGTGCTGTCATAGTGATCATAGTGATAGCCTGTTAAAACAGAGCCAATTGTTCTAGTAATTACAAGTAGCCATGAAGTGACTTGGTTCAGTGAAAGGCTGTTACTCAGAGACTACATTTAGTGGTTTGTAACTGAATGCGGCTATTGGAACAGTTCAATGTAGGCCCCCCACTGAACATGTTTTAAATTTTTTTTAACATGTACCATGACTTACTCTCTTTATAGTCGATGCATCCAAGAAATCCGATTCGAATCCATTAACAGAGATACTAAAGTGCCCAACGAAAGTGGTCTTACTAAGGGTGAGTCAGGAGGACATTTAACTTCACATCTTGTAATATATACTGTGTGTTTCAATTTTAGTGCTCAAACCCCTTTCTCCTGTTATAAAAGCTCCATGAGATGCAAACTTCTTTTCCCCCCCATGGTGCACTCTGGTATCATTCTTGTCCTGTTGTGTTGTTGGAAAACACCTGACAGTTGCCTTAATACCTGTGATTATTAGTCTTGATGTGTCTAGTGTGGGGACTGAAGAGAAGTTTTATTTTTTTGCCGTTTCAGAGTACATTGAAAGTACAAAGTTTTGTTCAATAACTTGTGATAACGCAGTTGATCTGTGCTGTATTAACTAGTTAACGTGACTTTGGGCCATACAAAGGAAACAGTAACTCAAGGAATAGCGTATTAGTGCCAGGGAGTTGACTGGCACCATATGATGATAGAATGGGTGGCCTATGATTTGATGAACTGACACTTAAAACTCATTCATAGTTTCACTATAATGCTCCCCCTGGTGGCAGGATGCACCCTTTGTGTAGCATCCATCTGTTGAATTGGTTTTCCTCCGTTTTACTTACAGAACATGGTAGGTGCTGGAGAGGTTGATGAAGATCTAGAAGGTGAAACTAAAGAAGAATGTGAAAAATATGGCAAGGTTGGGAAATGTGTCATCTTTGAGGTAGGAATTAATTTACCTCTTTCTCCACCACATCTATAAAGGCGTAACTTTTCAGATCAAGAAGTAGGCAAAAACTCTGAGCTGGGAGTGCTCGGGGACTGTTTGGTTCTTGCTGCGGTAGCCACGCCTTGTACATCAAGTTATTGTAAAGTTTGGCATCTAGCAGTGTATGGCTATAGACCTGTACCAGTGAACAGCCTTTCCCCATAGAGAAGTGGGACTCAGCCTTGGTAGCTCTGAGCACCACACTCGATGGGACCACACCTGGTGGCTGTATGTTTTTAATCCTACCTGCTTTTCCTATAAAGCCCAACAGTTCATAGCTATATTTTGACCATTCTGAACAACTGTCTCTTTTGTCAGATTCCTGGTGCCCCTGATGATGAAGCAGTGAGAATATTTTTAGAGTTTGAGAGGGTCGAATCAGCAATTAAAGGTCAGAGATTGCACTAGAATTCCCTGTTAATTTCCAAAAAGTTGATTTTTAAAAATAGTTGTATATTTTTTTAAGCAGAACTGTGTTTAGCTTGAGAATTGCTTACCTTACTCGGTGTTTCATGACCTGTTTTTGGCTTGGATTCCAGCTGTGGTGGATCTGAATGGAAGATACTTTGGTGGACGAGTGGTGAAGGCTTGTTTCTACAACCTGGATAAGTTCAGAGTACTGGACCTGGCAGAGCTAGTCTGATTTAAGGACCTTTAGGTCAGGTTGTCACCGTGCCAGCGATTGTGTTTTCAGCTGGAGGCTGGGAGTAGAGAGAAGACGGCAGCATTCCTAGCAAACTGGAAACAAGCCCCCTCGAATGGATTTTTTACATTCATTGTGACTGACGCTTATTTTGTTCTGTTTTTTAAGTATAAATCCTTTGAAAGATTCACATCTGTGTGTTTTGATTGCACAAGTTCTGTTTACTGGTCTGGAATCCTGTGTTTTGTAGCTTTCAATGAATTGCACTCTCTTGAAACCCACCGCTGCGGAGCTGTGTTCTTTTTCTGGTTTCCTTGTTCTAGTGCTGCAGTATGGAGCGCGTCATGTGACATCTGCTATGAGCAGCAGGCTTTGGAAAAGAACTGTGGGCTGGGATATTTTTCTTTTCTGGTGCTTCATGGCAGAATCTCTACTCAGCTCATAAACCTCCAGTTTACCCAATCCAAAGTAATTTGGGGACTCCGGACAGGCAGCAGCTTCTCTGTTCTCTTCTGACTCATTAAGGACTTGTTTTAGGGGAAATCTTTTGCATACCAGAATGCAGAGAAAAGTACCAAGAAAAGAATTGAAATTCTTGTTCCTCCCCCGAACCTAGACAAAACACATAAATTAAACCCATGAGAACCGGGAGAGAGAACTTTATGCAACTAGCCATCCAGAGCTGGAGACCTGTGTATGAACCCCAGTTTACATTTGGTTTGAAGGTCTCCAAGTGGACACTTCATCAAATCGCCATGCTATCAGGTATTGTTGGCTGTCTTTGCTTGACAGGTCCAGGACTGATATATTAGGAGAGTTACAGGTCAGTAGTGAGGGGTGTGTAAAGCTAGGGGGAGCTGTCGTCTTCATGCTTGGTTCTAGCCAGAGTCATCTGTGTTTTCACTTCCACTGAACACCAAATCTGTCCACTAATTGTCTTTTTTAAAGTGGCATGGTTATGGCACTTGTAGCTCTGTTTAAGTCTCATTAGATCTATTCAACATTTTTTAAGGGCCGAGCATTTGAACTCCTCTTGAAATATTGCGTGAGCTGTACCAGTATGTTGAAAAAAATCCATGTATAAGAATCCAAAAGACTGTGAAGAGTTGGATACAAAGACCCCTAAAACTGTTCTGTCTCACATTGACTTGTCCATAACAGCTTACTCCAGTGTTTTGTGAAATAACTAATGCCTTGGGCTTGGGGCACTGTGTGTGAGTGTGAGTGGGGGGGGGAAGAGGGCGCCCTGGATCTCTCACCCAACTTGGTTCACAGTAAAAGTGCCACGAGAATCATACAAAGGTTTAAAATGGATACCAGCCTCAAGAGCCTTTTAGCTTGCTGGATGGTGAGATACTTGGATATCTTTCCCCCCATATATAAATGTATTTTTATGGGTGTAGGCCAGTAGTTGATCAGTGCAGTGAATATCTTATGTCACTGCATTTTTATCAGCTGATCCCTTAAAAACCAAACACCTTGATCTTGCTGGTTTTTGCTTATGATATTTTTGTCTATTTACTTTCCAGCAATTTCTGTATGACCCTTTGTGTCCTGATTTACAAGCTTTAAAAAAAAAAAAAAATTGTAGTCTACTTAGCGTGTCTGCTTCTTCGCTGTTTTAAATGCAGCTTTTTCTGTCCTTCACGACCTAACCTCCAAATCAGTTACCTGCACATTGTGTTTTGGACTGTTAAGCACACAGTCTTTTGGTGGCGATGGTTGGGATCTGCTCTTACAAAACCTTGACTACAGACATTAAGGAATTATTCCTGAATGAGCAGCAGCATGGCCTATGGATAAAGCACAGGATTGGGGGCACGGGATCCAGGTTCTATTTTCAGCTCTGCGATCGATTTGCTTTGTGACCTAGAACAACCTCTTTGGGTTTTAGGTTTCCCATGTTTAAGATGAGGAAATGCCTGTAATAAGGATGAGGCTTAACTTGTTTGTAAAAGTCAGATCATTCGAATGAAGGCACTGTTGAAATACCCTGCCCTGAGCATCCCAATCTACTGAAGCCTGCCCTAAAATGTCCTTTAAGCTGTGTCACTTATTAATGGCACTTGCTTCATCAAATATGGATGCCCTAATTTACTGCCTTTAAACATTTCCTGAGTGAAGGGGTGCGGCCTGTGTTTGTGACCAGCTATTGGTGTCCAAGAAACAAAACTTTAAAATTACTCTTCCCGTGAGTGTCAGAATGACCATCCACTGGTCAGGGCATCCACCTGGGAAATGGAAGACCCCAGCTGCGGTCCCCCCTGCTCCAGTCACTCACTATTGATCCACAGTGGAACAGGTTCAACAGGAGAAAGCGAGAGAGCGCCACATCAGACTATCCCACAGCTCAGTGGTTAGAGCACAGTCCTGAGAGGTGAGTGGGCTCTGTCCAAATCCTTTGGGGGAATTGAACCTGGGTCTCCCACATCCCAGGTGAGTGCTCTAACCACTGGGCTAAAAGTTATTAGGTGGACACTGGCACCCCGTTCTGTTTTGTGTGGAGTGAGACAGGTGATTAATTCATTCCTTGGGTGCTGGAGCCAGCTGGCTCCAGGTAGCAGGTGCCCATTCATGGATTGCTTAACAGAGACAGGCACCTCTCTGCAGCCTGGACCCTTATTTCTGAGAGAGGCCTGGGTTAGTGTACACACCACTCCTGAGCATCTCCCACTGGCTAGCTTAGGTGGCTCTCCGCCTAGGGTGGTGGCTTTTGTGGATCACATTCTTAAGCACCTCTCTCGCCCCATTCATTGTACAGGAAGCCTGGGCACCTAACTTTGTGGATTCCAGTGTTCCTAGATTTTCTAGGTGTCTAAAGTTAGGTGCTTCAATGCTCAGTGTTGCAATGCCTAAGTCCCTTGGTGGGTCTCGCCCCCCAAGTAATTTGTGCAACCATCTCACTTTAATTATCTGTATTTTTTTCCCCTTCCAACATTAAAAGCTCTTACTGCGAGTGCCTGCTTATGTTCCCATTAACTCCTGAAATTACTTTCCACACCTACACCTTAAACCGCTACTCTCTCAAATCTATCATTTCTTATTCTCTCAGCTGTTCATCACCTTCTGCAAATGCACATGGCCCACAGGATCCAATCCTCCCTCGCTCTTTTTTAAAAGTTTTACTTATCTTCAAGTAAACAGTGACAAGTGAGTGACACATTCCACACACACACATCTCTCTGTGTCTTAAATAATCTGATTAGCGTGGGGCTTGAATGTGTTACTTTGTTTCTTTAACACTCCTGATACCTTAAATGGGCAACCGTTAAAACCAGAGAGGAAAGTAGCATTAATTAAGAAGAAAATGAACATGTTTATATTATGTATCCACTTGCCAAGGAAGAGTCTAGGTTTTATAGCATGAAGTGTTAAGGCCTGCATTTTCAATCTTGGCTGCCCAAAGTTAGGCATTTAACTCTATATTTAAGGGGCCTGATTTTCAGAGGTGCTGGACAGTTGTAGCTCCCATCAGTCAGTAAAAGCTTCGGCTGTTTGGTACCTCTGGGAATGGGGCTTTGATGCTTAACTTTAGCAAGACATGGTTGGAGATAGTTTAAAGCCAGGCTAAGATATGCATGGCTGTGATGTGGTAGCCACGCAGGAAAAGAAAAATACTCCAGGCTCAATATCAATCTTGCAAACCAACATCCAGACCAAACAGGCAAGCAAAAATGTTTTGCATTATTTGTATTGATAGCACCCAGAGGTCCAAACTGCTTAGGCCACCATTGTGCAAATAGGAAGAAACAGTCCCCATCTCAAAGAACTGAATCTAAATAGGCATAACAGACAAAGAGAAAGAGAGGTACAGAGATAGGAAGTAAATTGCCTAAGGTCTCCAAACAGACCAGCGGCAGAGCTGGGATTGTAACCTAGTGCCCTGGGGTAAAAACGTTGAAATTCAATAGAAACAAAAGAACCCACTGCTGGGAGAGGTTTTGATTTTTAATAACTGCCAAAAATGTCAGATTCTCTGCATAATCTTCTAAAATAAGAAAGAGGTGGGTGCGATTTTTGTGCTGCGCTCTCCATGAACGCTAGTCGTGCCTGACTCACTTATAACTTGAAATCAAACTCCTATGTTTGCTCTGGGTGTGAGTGTTTCCATAAGGCTAATGTGCACCTTCACGAAGGCTTCCATGTTCTCTTTCTTTCAAAAGCTTTATGGAAATGAAATCAATGCTTTAGTGTTGAATGTGGTTCTGGAATCGAATGAATTCTCCCAAGCAAGAGAACCACCAGGGGTTTCTTTCTTTCTGTGTTCGTTCAGCAGCTAGCGCATTTGAAATCTTGGTCCTGCTTGAGGCCTCAGGATGCTGCCAGATGGTAAATTAGGAGCAGTAAAACAAGATGATGCTGCAACTCTAAAACCCACTGAGAGGGAAATAAAAAAAGTCCAATTTTTAATTAATCTCTTTTTTATTTCCTTTTTTTAGTTCATCAAAGTAACACTTTGTACTTCTGTAGAGCCTTCCTCCTTTACTCCAGGGGGGTATGTAGGAGCTGTGGGGACAACAGGCAGAGAAGTGACGTGCCCATAGACTCTTGGTAGTTAGGACTGGAATCTGTATCTCCCTGGGGTCTAGCCCCTGGCTTCCACCTTGAGACAAAGTTCATGCCATTAATAATGCTCCTGCTGCTGTATGAATGCTCAGAGTTCATGGTATTTTGGTCATCTGGTTCAGCCATCTGTGGGAATGGATGAGTGGCTCTTTGCGCCAAGTACACCTCTACCCCGATATAACGCTGTCCTCGGGAGCCAAAAAATCTTACCGCGTTATAGGTGAAACCACGTTATATCGAACTTGCTTTGATCCGCAGGAGTGCGCAGCCCCGCCCCCCCGGAGCACTGTTTTACCGTGTTATATCCGAATTTGTGTTCTATCGGGTCACGTTATAGCGGGGTAGAGGTGTATATGTAGAAGGTGGGGGAGGGGGAATAGTTTTGCTGCCTCTTTCCCCATTTGTACAGTGGACCTAAAGGCCCACTGTTGCCAGTGATGATCTACTAATATATTGGGCTGACATTCATAATCCACATCACTTAAAATAGCCTCACAATTGGCTCCCTTATTGGAAGGCTGAGGGTTGAGTGGACCATGGAGGCCAAACTGGCTTCTTCGCCCTAGAGAGTCAGCTTCCTCCAGGTCAGGGTTGTGGGGCAGCGTGGGGAAGTATACACTGTCCATGCTCTACCTAATAGAGGACTTGCTGTCAAACCAGCACTTTTCTCGTACACTTAATTCACATAAACATTACAAACAAATGAATAAGAGGT